GAGGTTTACCAGTATAAGACAATAAAAGGCTAAATTACCTTAACAGTCGTTTCAGCAAATTGACCATCAAATGAATAGTATAAAAAAGCAACTAAAAAGAAGGTGTTTGAGAAAGTATGTACTTTTTCTTTTTATATTTTTACATTTAATATTTTTCTTTTAGTGTACTTTAATGTGAACTAATTCAATGCTGTATTCTAATGACTTTGTTAAAATATATTGCTTCCTGTTATTTCGAAAAAATGTTCAACTTTAATCGTCCTATCGAGCCTCGGCGCCAGACGTCCCCTACGTCGCGACGGTCCAAAGCTGCACATGGGCTCCGAATATATCAGAATATACCAAAGGGTAAGTCTATGTTCTTTGTACAGACAACAATAACTAGTAAGACCAGTTAATTTCATAATTTATTTACAGTTGTATTTGCTATTTTTTGCTAATTCATTTACAAATAAATATTGTATTTTTTTTCTTCATTATTATATATCTAATATCATTTACCCACCGATCTCTTAAGTTTTATCCAAAACAGAAAGAATATTCAAAAAATTAAAAAACTAAGAAACATAGGTATTAATGAAAAATTAAAACATGATTCAAAGATAAAACTGGGAACATGAAACGTAAGGGGATGAAGGAAGAATAAAAGACGCAACTAAAGACAGAAGATCTGTATAAAATAGTTGTGATCAGATATGTGAATAGTCAATCAAATCAGTCATATACTTGTTAAAATAAATCAACGGAATTTTGTGAATAAAACGCAAAAACGTCAGAAATATGAGAATAGCATATTAGAGCTCGAATCGCTTCTTAAAGAGACATCTGCAAAATTTTAAGGATAGAAGATATTCAAAGAAATCAGTGTATTAAAGCAAAAAAACACTTTTGATCTGGTTTTTTATCATATGCCTACAAAGACTACGACTAGACTAAATATGTATATACGGAATTATATAATAATGAATAAGGTTCGACAGTTGAACAAAGGTGGAAACAATTTAGCTAAACAATTGATGGATTCGACCGTTACTTGATGGAAATTCATTTTATGTAACAATAAAACACTGAAAACTTTGTTTTCAAACTTCCACAAAATTTATTTTAAGTCTTATCACTACAGCTGTTTCGGCTGATTGCTTTTCTCAAGTGATCTATTTTTGGCTTGGGTTTACAAATTTATAGTCTCTAATTACAGGGTAATAGTGCGCAATGTATGCTAATGATGAAATGTTAGTAGGAAATACTGAAAAGGATTTAGAAATACTGGAACAATAGAGACCAGCTTTTAAAGAAAAATTTTAAAACTTTTTTAAAAACATAGAATAACAACAAAATATATAGAATGTTCATTTAAGATGAAGCTAATACTAAAAATAAGTATTAAGTAACTAGAGCTAAAGCATTCGACTGAAATGTCAAGAACGCAATAAAAAAAAAGAAATGTACTTGACATAAAATTTATTAAAATATATTGGTTTCTTGGATGAAAATTCAAGTTGTCAATATATAATAAACTTTTAATTTATATTCAAAGTTAGTCTAGATCTAGGTCCTAAAATCATGAGGGTGTACAGATAAAAGTAATACTTAGATAATACAAGGGGCTGCGAATACTACAAGAACAAGTCAACAAAATACCAACAATTGTGGATTAATAGAAAATCAGAAACATGTCATCTTCAATTATACGCAATACTTATGCAACATACAATACACAAATGTACAATACATATACACACATTACTGTATCACTTCGTATGTGCAGAATGTGTATTCTACGTTTGTGTATAAAAATAAATAATACAAAAATATATAAAATTGTCAGAATTTGATATCCCGAGGACACAAATACCACCACTCCCGACTTTTTCGTCGGTTGAAAAATGACTTTTTTAACCCAAAAACATAGCTGCTGGTCGCTCAGCAAACTACTTTGGTCTGCCTTGCAACCACTCGAGCGTGGAGGACCGACAAACGTGTCTCCGACTATATAAAAACTCCTAGAGTTAATATTGTATTTCCAGTTAGGGGCTGGTTCAGTATCTCCAAAATTGACTTTATTAGGTATCAGTGAAATAAAATAAATAAACAGTACTATAAGTGTATTGAAAACTAACAAATAACAAGAATGTATGTTAAAGTTTTACCCTCTCGTAATTTTTATATACTACCTTCCTTTTGTCTTTAAATCATTAAACATCTTACAAACAAAAAAAGGGTTACAATACAAATGAATATGAATTCATATTTATCAGAGAAATGTGCACATACTTATTCGGCCTTCTAAATTTTAATATTAACTTATATTAAGCACACGAGATATGGTTTCATTCGCGAATAGAGTGTGTGTACACAAATTTCCGTTTTAAATTGTGTCTCTGGCCATGGAGGACTTCAATAATAGGGAACATTAACTTACAATAAATCTGGACAGTACTTGAGACCCCTCAGAAGATGCTTCTGACGGTAACTGGTAGCAGGAACACTTTTATAAAAGATGCTTTCCTTTCGTTGCACCTATGACTCCATCAAGTTCACGTTCTTAAGATCGTTTTATAATATAATTGTCAAAAACTTAAACAAAAATGACTAATGGCGAAGACACAACGCCGTATATATTTTTTCTATGACACCGCCAACTTCTCTCCTTGCTGATTGTCGTCTTGCAGTTTTTGAAAACTGCCACTAGGTGGATAAGTCCCCTTTCACAATAAATTTATTTTAGAGTGAATATATAAGTTTACAATTATCTGAGAGTGATTTCCTGCATTTATGTGTTTTTTATTTGATATTACATATTATATTATTTTATTTATTAACATGTGCGACCTAAAGGCATTCAACGCCCTCTCATGACGAGAAGGCTTTCTAAGTGTAACAGATTGGAACTTATGTCATAAAAAATGTGACATTGGGAACGCACGAAAATGGCGCTAGAGGTTCAAAATTTTAATTTCTTATATAATTTAAATTCAAGGTGTTGGGAACTTTTCCCAACAGCTGCTGTCTACAAGAATGAGGCCAAGCATGTCAATAGTCAATTTTGAAAAAAACATAACCCAATCAACAACTGTTGGTTATAGTTTAGTAGAATTTTTATACCTTTTTATATCTTTTTGAGAACGATTTTCGGAGTGGACAGGCCACAAGAAAACAGTTTCAGAACATTTTTAAACATAATACAAGTATTTCAAAACAAGATTCTGAGGTAGAAGAGGGAGAATTGTAGATGCATTATGGTTCTTTCGAAATGACTATCTTCCAGAAGAGCTGAAGGTGTCAAGACTCAAAGAAGATATCATTTGGTAGGCAATGAAGCTCGGGAATAGACTGCACACCCATCACAATGAGTAGACTCAGCAATTCCTTGATAATATAAGACCTAGAAAAAGACTTAAAAGAAACTATTCAAATTGGTGAAATGATAAAGGAAAAAAACACACGCTATTTTTTTTTGGATAAGTAGTTAATTATTAGGATTTCTAGATTAAAATTGTAGGTTAGTCCGTTGTGACTAGTAAGATTACCTGTAGAGAGAAACATAATCTTATAGAGATTTCATAAGAAAAGTTGTGGCATAAGCTGGAGCAGATATTAAACCTTTAGTCGTCGATGTAACAGTTAGGCTAAAACGAATATAGAAAATATCAGAAAATAATTTTACCATTTTATCCGTCAACCAAAGTAAAATCGAAAATAAATCAAACATTTACATGAAGGAACTGATAATAACCGAATATGTTAAGCAACATATATTGAATGGTGGGCCGCAACAATGTTGTAAGCGACAGATTGGGTCAAAGTGAGGTTTTAATGCAATAATGTTGTAAATCCAAAAACCTATGAAACCATTTTTCAATCTGGCTAAAACCATTTTGCCTTCCCTGAGTTTTTCGTACCGGAATTTTGGTATCCGTAAAAAAACGGTTATGTACGTGACTGTAAAACTACTATCACTGTAAAAATGGGAGGTTAACGTGTCGCTGTCTACCCTTTTGCACATAAATAGAGGAAAAAAACGTAAAATTAATATTAACCAGTGGAAGAGAATCATCCGTAAGCGTCAGAGAAATGCAGGAAACCGGTACATAATCCTTCAGCTTATCATGTAAAATTAAGGGTCGTAGAGGAATTGGAAGGAAGCAGATATTATGACTCAATGGCATTCGCGATTGGACAGAAATACGCAGTGCCGAACAACTATTCCGAGTAGCTGAAGACCGTGAAGAACTCGCCAATGTATTTTCTATCGTTAGGGAGGCAAAGGAAGATAAAATACATATTACAGACTAATATAAAAATAAATTGAGATTTATGCGTTATATTTTTAAAGTGGGATGAACGAAATGCAACGAGACCAGTTGAGTGTTGATTGTAAGTTGAAGATTGCAATAAACTGAAATAAAAATTCTGTAAAACTGCCTTAAGACCAATTAGAGTAACCGTAACTGAATTTTCAGCAGTTAAAAAGAAAGAATAATAACATATGCATGTGGTGAAAAAGAAAATTCTTAGATGAAAAATTAAGAATAGATATATCTAGAGAAATCTAGGAGTGGTACCAATTGTTACCAAAATGGGAAAATGTATGTTAAGATGGTTAGAGCATACTATATGGAGCATTGTTGACTTGGCAAGTTTTCGAAAAAAAAAAGACTTTTCCCGAAAACGGCTTGGTGGGAGACGCTTAGGCAAAACATCTAGATGAAGGGAATTACTGCAGCTATGACCAAAGATAGAAAGAAACTCGTGAAGAAATGTAATTAATAAAGCATAGGCACGAAGGCGAAGATATTGATGATGTATGTAGTTACACTTAAAATACCGATCGAATTTTACAAAATATGCAGTACACACAGCCTTAAATAGAGTAAGCAAAAACAAAGAGACCTATGTACTTGACAATAACGGGCGCTTTCTTTATAGAGCAAGCACAATACATACATACGTAATTCAGTCATAAATATTTCAATAATGTTTATAATATAGGAACTTACTTCGTCTGTGATATCTCCATAATGTTGGACATCTTCCGTCTCTTTGACTTCTTCAGTTTCTTCTCTGGATATAATTTTACGTTCCTTAACCTCTCTGACGATACCATCGGGATTGGGTACAGAAACCCAATTCGATTGACCGGCAATGGCCTTCCGATTTTTGCCACCATCGTCGAGGGCTTTTAATCCATCGACATCATCATCTCCCAACTTCCGCAACTAAAAAACAAACATAATATTATAAATTATATATTTTCCAAGGATCTTTGTCGGCGATATCTCTATTTTAATATCGCAACGTAAAAATACTCTATCATTGTAAAAAAATATTTAACCCCTATTAATCTTTTAACTCTCACTTGACCTTTAACTTTAAAATTGACAGTGAGATTTTTTTAATGAAATAGGAGTGTTTGAAATATAGCCAGGTACAAAAATATTCTAGGCAGTTACAAATATTCCTACGGTAGGAATGAAAATTAAAATTTACTACTGATACAAGACAGTTACACTAAGAAAAAGTAACTTGTATAAATAAGAAAATTTTTACAAATTATGTATTTATGTTTAACCCTTAACTGATATATTTTGAAACCAATCGGATAAATTTCTCTTCGTATTTTGGTCACACAAGCGCTATTAATGGTAAAAAATACTTAACAAAGGACTTTGGATCAGAACGCTGTCGAAGACCACACGGGAATTTTGAAAACAAATAAAGAGGCTATAGCAGAGACCTAAAGATCATACTCCCAGGATCTATATAAAGGAGACAAACAGCTGGAACATATCAACCTTAATTTGGAAGAAGAACCGGATGTACTAAAGTGTAAAGAAGGACTGGCAATCAATAGGAAGGCACCAATCCCAGAAATGATAACAGCAGATATGCTCAAGGAAACAAAAGAAATCGGAAAAAAATTGCTTCACCCCTTCTGCAATTAAATATGGCATTCAGGCTTTCCATGCAATCACTGATTATACGCTCTCTATAATTACAACAATAAAGAAAAAAGGTAGCTTTCGTAAATGCGACAATTATATAATTATTTCTCTTATGTCGCATGTCAGCAAGGTAATGCTACAAATCATCAATGAACAGTTGAAAACTTTCGTCCAAAGAGAAATCAGAAGCGCAGACCGGCTTTGATAAAGGTAGAGTTTGAATATAAAAGAAATATTCGACAAGTCGAGAGAATTTAATATCCCGGTATACATCTGCTTCGAAGATTATCACAAAGCATTCGACAAAGTCAAATGGCATCGTTTATGGCTAATATTAAAAGAAGTGAATGTTCTAAGGCTCTCGATTTCCCTTATACCTGAATTATACCAGCATATCAAGGGATTAGTAAAAGTGCTTGACTTACTTCCAAAAGAAATTTAAAAGGAAAATTTTCTTTTAAATTTCTGTTGGAACCATTTTCAGTGGTTAATTATATACAATAGTTCAAAAAACTTAAAATTAAGTAAAAATTTTATTTTGTAAAATGGTATAAAATTGTTATTAAAACTTTGAGAATTATCCAAAGTGGATTTATAAATTTTCAGAACGTTTTCAGATCAGATCATCATTAGTGAAAAAGTCTATAAAGTATTTGGAACTAGCCACATAATGAGGTAACATTATAATTCTTAAGATAATAAGTCGATGATAAGGGATTACATTTCTTAAGGAAACGTACAATTTTCCAGCTCGAAAAAGGGACTTTACGCCTTAAGAAGTTACCTGGGTCAAGGTAGCATGGGGTCAAGAAAACAGTTAGAGTAATAAAATCACAGATAATTAGATGGTATGGACACATAAATGTTTTTATCAAATTTAAACCGCTACTATGTAACCGCAAATTGATCAAGGTACGCAAAATTGGATACCTCGGCCATATTCTGAGAGGAAAAAAATACGCAGTACCTCAACTAATCATCTAGGGAAAGATTAAAGGCAAAAAGGGAGTAGGTCGCAAACTAATGTCGTGGCTATGGAACATAAAGAACTAGACAGGCCTAAATAACACTGGCGATCTTTTGCATGCCGCAAAAGACAGACGTCTGGAATCGATAATTCGCCAACGTACTATGGGTGCACTATAAGAAGAAGGACACATAATGAGAACAGAGAAGAGCAATCCGTTTAGAGTTATAACTGGAATATAATATATTATAGTATAATATAATATATTATAATATAATATAATATAATATAATATAATATAATATAATATAATATAATATAATATAATATAATATAATATAATATAATATAATATAATATAATATAATATAATATAATATAATATAATATAATATATTATAATATAATATAATATAATATAATATAATATAATATAATATAATATAATATAATATAATATAATATAATATAATATAATATAATATAATATAATATAATATAATATAATATAATATAATATAATATAATATAATATAATATAATATAATATAATATAATATAATATAATATAATATAATATAATATAATATAATATAATATAATATAATATAATATAATATAATATAATATAATATAATATAATATAATATAATATAATATAATTTAATATATTATAATATAATATAATATAATATAATATAATATAATATAATATAATATAATATAATATAATATAATATAATATAATATAATATAATATAATATAATATAATATAATATAATATAATATAATATAATATAATATAATATAATATAATATAATATAATATAATATAATATAATATAATAAAGGTAAAATTCTTTCTATTGACGTCTTATTTTAAACACTCTAGATAATTCTTTATATGTGTATTTAATCATAATGTAAACTTATATATAAATTAAACATCTTAAATTAGTAAATAACACTATTTTAATCCGTAATTATTATTTAAAATGTCCACTTTCTGTTCAATTTCATCTGAATTCACTGTCCCATATCACTTTTATTTACAAAATGTCCCAATATAACAAATTTACTGTTATTGTAACTTTGGTTGCCTATATAGATGGCATAAAAATATCTATTTATAATATCATAATTATTAAAATAACCAAATACATTGCAAAATAAAAACTTTTTAAACAAATTATTATGCTAATTTCTTAAGGATGCCATCATATAAATACTTTTTATAATATTTCTAATATATAACTTATAAATTACTTCTTTAATCGCCATTTAAGTTCATTCTAAGTTTCTAAACATTTTGATTACCTTCCTTTCTCCGATATTTAATAGTATCTCAATTGATTCTTTTTTAACGTACAAGTGATCTAAATCGCTATGAGGCTTTCCAAATGTGAGCTATAAAAGAATTTTAAAAGTTTCTTGGCCAAGAAGTATCAAAACTCTACAATACTAGGACGTCTTAGCAAGACTACCAAGATTGTAAAAAGCATTAAGAAGAGAAAGCTAATATACTTTGAACATTCTAATGAGAGGTCCCAAATATAGATAGCTACAAAATATTATTCAAGGGAAAACAGCGGGCAAAACGTAGTCCAGGACGAAGAAAGACTTTTTGGTCTAAGAACTTGCGAGATTAGTATGGTATAGACACAAACATGCTATTTAGGTTATCAGTAAATAAATTTAAGATAGATGGCAAATGAAAAATAATTATTTTTTTAATTTTATGGCATTATTATAAAACTGTTCATTTTTAGGTAAAAATTATATTAGATATAATAATAAATATATAAAAACTTCAATTTGTTTAATTTATTTGTTATACTTAAATTGACCCAACGATATCAGTTGCGAGTAGTAAAATGATGATACCAGTTAAGGATTACAGCAAAGTAGATAAATTTGTTTTACCTCCGTTTGGTGATGCTCCTGCGTTTCGGTATCCTCTGTAGTGTTAGTTGTGACCATAGGACCAGAATCTTCAACGACTTTTCCATCTTCTAATACAACTTGCCTCTTGACTCGGGTTTCGATTTGTTTGGTATTGGTTACTTCAGTTTTTTTCTTACTGACCCATTCCTCTATAAAATAAATTATAAAATATAATTAGAATTTGGTAAAAATTACTTAAATATTTATTTTGAATTAAATAAAATTGTAGGTTAAAAACCAATCGTAAATAAAATTATTATTTAAATTCTTTAATAACACTTGATTTATATGGTAATATACTTTTTAACATCGTGTGTCGTAACGTGTTAAGAGTCCGACATGTTACATCTAGTCCAAATTTTGCTATTTTGTAAAATTTTAAACGTATTCAAGATTATATTAGTAAGATTATCTTATATATTCTGACTTAGGTTAGGTCTGAAGGCACCTACTGTAATACCGTAATAAAAACCTTTTCAAAAATACCGCTTACTGAAATAATATTATTTTGTAATTCCTTAGAAGTTACTACAGTTTCTATAGTTATAAACAGTTTTTACCAAAATATACCTAAATATTCTATTTTTATGATCGTGTTGTAAATCATCGTGTTTCTGCACGTCCCGTTTAAAAAATATACCAATAAAGGACACCCTTATAGTTCCGTCTGATTTAGACCATCCCGAGACAAAATAACTGTATTCCCCCTTTGAATATTCTTTCTATAAAAGAGAACATTTTTTTATCTAATTTTATTTTCCACTATTCCTGTCAGGCCATGGAGCTGGGGTATCTACATTGTATAAATGACGTGTACCCTATCCTAAATGCTATGGCATGCTGGACGAGCCATACAGTCTGTAGTCAACACCCCGAGGTGTGAGCGGCAACACAAATTGTATCAATACTCATACGCTTATGAAACGCACCTGGCGGATCATAAGGGCCTTCACATTTTACTCTGTTTCAACTTGTCTTGAGTAAAATGTTTTTAATCTTTCCTATCAGCCTCTCTTGGCTAACTCTTGTATTTTTCCGACTCCGAATGGCTATTAGGTTTCCGAGGGCAGACGGGTCACTACATTTACTCCTACTACATACTCTTCACAAATACTGGTCCTCCAAGTCTGGGGGTTTGAACAATGGGTCAGCACCCCTTCTTCTAGAAAAAAGTTATTTGCTAACAATTTCGATCAAGAGCCTCGGAATAAGGATGGAAACAAAAGACGACGACTGCTACTAAAAATGGAACACATGGAATGTACAAGGTCTAAGAACCAAGAAAACTGAAGTTTTTCAAGAATTAGAACGACAACAAATAGAATTATGCGTTCTTACAGAAGCAAAAAAGAAAGAAAATGGAAATGAATTCAAGAACGACTATATTTATTTATACAGTGGAGTTGAAAAATTATTAAGAGCAAAAAGAGGTGTGTCTATAGCCATGCATACAAAACTCAAAAACAATATCAAGAGTTGGGAAGAGATAAACGAGCAGATCATTATGATGGATCTTGAGAAATATGGGGAGACGATAGTTATAATAGGAGTATATATGCTCCTAGTGACGATTCTGATACAAAAGTTTAGGATGAATTCTATAACGGATTGCTTGACGTGTTGACCCATGTAAACCGATCCAAAGAAATATGCCTAGTAGGAGATTTCAATGCTCGGGTAGGCAAAAAATTACAAGACAATATGGTGAAGACAAAATAAACAACAACGAAGAGCGACTCATTGATTTTTGTGAAACATTACAGCTTAAAATAATGAATGGATTTTATCAGCACTAAGATATACATAAATTTACCTGGGAACAACCAAAAAAAAAAGATAAAATCTATAATCGACTATCTCATTCAAACAGAAAACAAAAGGCTCCAAACAAATGACGTAAGGGTGTATCGTGGTGCCGAATGCGGATCTGACCACTATATGGTGGTCGCAAAAATAACAGCCGAAAAAGAATATCAAGATATAAAAAATTGCATTCATCAGGCGGCCAAAGAGGCATTGGGATACGAAGAAGCTGACAAAAGAAAAAATCCTGAGTGGTGGAACGAAGAAGTAGGAAAATTAATTAAAGACAAAAAAGCTTATCAAACGTGGCTATCCACGAAAGACTCAGAAGACCATAAAATTTACAGCAGACTCAACAGGGAAGCAAAGAAGGAAGTCTCTAAAAGAAAAACGAAATGTGGTAAGAGAAATGCGAAGAGATGGACCGATGCTTAGGAGGAACCAAAGTGACACAAGCTTGGAAATTCATAAAAAGTATTAGAAAAGATGAGGAAAATATAAACCTGATTCAAAATAAAAAGTGGGAAAAATATTACGAAACGCTATTAACAGAAAGTAGGCACGAATTTATGGAAAAACCTGACCATATCTCAATGACAGAAAACTCAGAGGTGCATAAGATAAACAAAGAAGAACTGAAAAAGAATTGAAACAAATGAAAAATGGAAAAACACCCGGGCCTGGAGACATTCCCATCGAGTTGGTGAAACATATACTGGATGCTCTTTTGGAAAGCTTAGTGAATATTTTTAATAAATGCTTAATTGAAGACCAAACGATTCCAGACGATTGGAATTTGGCCCACATTAGCCCCATTTATAAAAAGGGAGGCAGGAAAGAGTGCGGAAATTATAGAGGCATTGGCGTAACTAGCTCGCTGGAAAGGTTATATGGTCGTATATTGAAAAGAAGAATAGAAGAGGAGTATAAAGAAATTAAAGAACAAAGCGGCTTCAGAGCAGGAAGATCGTGCGTGGACAACACATTTACCCTTAAACAAGTAATTGAAAAACGAACAGCTCGAAACCTCCCTACGCATCTGGTATTTATAGATCTGGAGAAGGCTTATGATACAGTTCCTTTAAAACTCTTATTTAGTGTCTTGACGAAAACGGACCTTAGTAAAACATATCTAAAAGCAATACTGAACATCTATAAATGCCCTAAAAGTACTGCAAAAACAGGAAATACTTTCTCAAGGGTATTTACAGTAATGAAAGGCTTGAGACAAGGATGTTGTCTTTCCCCCACCCTATTCAAAATATATATTCAAGAAGCACTGCACCAATGGAGACAAAAATGTGCGGGAATGGGGTTGAAGCTTAACAACCATTATCTGACAACGATGTTCTTAGCAGATGATCAAGTACTAATTGCAAGCTGTGAAGAAGTTGCAGATTATATGCTTAGAAAGCTAAAAAAAGCTCAAAAGCTCATACGAAAAATGGGGGATAAGTATAAATATGTCAAAAACAGAATATATGCGAATAGGCAGTGAAGACGAAGACCTGGATTTGAAAATTAGACAAATGAAAAGGTGCTACGAATACAAATATTTGGGAAGTATTATCTGCAGTAAAGGAACAACGGAACGAGATATAGACTATAGAATGCAACAAGGCAGGAAGAGTGTTCAAATTATGAATTCGATACTTTGGTCCAACAAAGCTACTATAAAAACTAAAATGACTATCTACAAAGTAGTTATATATATATATATATATATATATATATATATATATATATATATATATATATATATATATATATATATATATATATATATATATATATATATATATATATTCTTTTCCACTAAGCAGTTGAAGTATGTAGTTGAAGTTCTTGTACTTTCAAGACGCTTGTAAAGGTTAAGATATTTATTTTAATACTTTCGTATTTCTTTATATTTTTATCTTTTCCTTTTATTCGCTCACTTTTACATTGCTATTATCTTATGTAATTCCAAAGCCAATCCAACGTTTAGTTTGCCGTAATCTTGGGTAATGTGAGTATTAAGTGCAACCTTAAGTGTAATCTTAAGCATAATCCGATGTTGGTCCACCGTTAGTCTAACATAATCTTAAGTAAGTCCCAGGTAGTCCCGAGTCAATCACATTTCCCCTTATCTGAATACGGAATTCACGTGTACTTTAGAATTGACTCCACAAAAAATCAACGTTTAGTCTACACGTTTTAAGGTCATCTTTTGTACATCTTTCTTAATTTGTTGTTGAATAAAAGATGGGAGTTAATTGGTTTTGTTCAAAATGGTTTAATTGGGACTCTGGTTTACTTGTTTGCACTTATTTGGGCCCAGAAGCTTTTTTTATATTGGGGTGCAGATTATCATGTGACAGTGGCATTACCTTTGTCGGGAATTTTATTCGGGCCTTTTTAATAAATATTAGGAAGAACAATACGAGACCATATCCTATAAGCACGGAAGCAAATATATCGTTATGCCATATTTGTAAGTAATTATAAAGATATATAGTTTATAACTATAAACCCAGACCGTTTTTCTATAGGAATGTATGTGTGGGAGTTAAATAGACATTTGCAGACGTTTACAAAAAAAAATTACCAAGTGAAAATACCAATAAATCACCTACAAAAGAACACATAATAAAAATATATTTGGTTTTTATCTTGATGGGTACGTTTAAAAAGAAAGCGTGAGAAGTCTTAGATGTATTAGCGCTGATAATATTGGTCGAATATTAATAAATCCTAAGCAATCGAAGGTAGGTCCGGATGTTATAATAAAGTTATGAATATTTAGATGTTGTTAATACGGGGCTGTTGCATAATATTTGATACATACTAATATCAACACAAAAGAATATTTAAAGACGTCGCAACAATAAACAACGTAACAACTAGAGGTGACCTTGATATAGTTAGGGCTATAAAAAAAACACTTCAAAGTAAGAACAAATGGAGAATAATTGCAAAAAGTCTTAGCGAGTAAGTTCGAATCAGATCATTCACATAATTGGAACCAAAATGACGACGATAATAGCAACATAGATAAAAACCTTCTCGAAGCTGGACTACAGATCACAAATAAAATAAGAATTGCCAAAGACAAAATAAACACTGAAACTGAGCAACTAATGAAGAAGGAAAGACAACTACTATCGGAAAACAAACCCCAGACTCAAGAATACGTAGAACTAAATAAAACAATTGGAACGAAAACTTAATAAAGCAAGTCATACAAAACAACAGAGGCTTGGAATGTCAGACTAATACTCAGTGTTTAGAAAGTTATCAAAATTAAAGACACCATTAACATGAAAGAGAAGGACAATTATAAAATAACAAAGATAGTTGAAAACTT